AACCAACATGTTTGACCTTGAGTTAGATTGAGTTATTACAAAATATATGTACAAATACAACATGTATGGCATTAATGGCAAAATGTTTTGTGACAGCAGATTCTGAAGTAGACAAAGAAAGAAAAGATGATTATTGTTGTCAGTGAAGACACAGGCAAAGCTCTTATTGGTGACGGGCTTTATGGGAAATGTGGTCTTAATTTGGGGAAACATTTGGCTCCCAGTCGTCTCCGTCATGCTTACATTTGTTCCAAGTATTTTTTGAGGAAGTACTACTGTGGATTTAACGACGATATCGTCCACATCTTTCAACTTAAAGAGAGTCTCTCTATTAGCCAATCGAAAGCTTGACTTCCTGTGAGAGTTATGGGAGTGAAAAGTGAGTTTTGGGAAAAGATTGTGAGGGCAGAGGGGGTTAACGAGTCTGAGTCACCCGTCCTGACCAGTGAGCCTCCTCCGCTGAGTCTGACCGAGATGATGATGTGCTGAAGCGCGTTTACGGTAAATCACCCGCCGGGGGACGCCGCTCTGTTTCCGAAAAAAAACCCGTCTTCAGTGGCATCACACCGGAACGCAGCTTGGAGAAGATGGAGAGATTGTGTGTGTGTGTTTGTGTTTGTGTTGAAGGGTTTGTTTAGTTTGTGGTTTCGTTATGATGAGAAACTTATCGCAACATTTCATGGGAAACTGACGCGAGATGTCCCGAGAAACAAATGACAAAACTGAGACATGAAAGAAGACAAATGTTCAATATGTGTCTGTATTGTGTGTGTGTGTGTGTGTGTGTAAGTGTTTGTGTGTGTATATGTTTTAATTTGTAACTGTACAAAAAGTGCATGTGCGTTTCCTGGTTTCTGTGAGTGTGTTTATACGTTTCTCAATAAGTGCACAAGTGTTTGTTTGTGCGAGTGAGAATGTGTGTGTGTGGGTGTGTGTATCTTCTCTGAAACGATGACAGCAGAGCTGTTGCTGTTTAGTGTTGACTCTCTCCGCTGCAGCCTCGCAGTCTGAAGCTGCATCCCGATGAGAGAAGTTCAAAAGTCTGAAGTTTCAGTCTGAATGCGGCGCTGGATAAAAGGTCAGGAGTCACCAATAATCTTATAGGATTCATCCTCAAGGGACCATGAATGTGCACAGCTGGCAGTCTGTCTTTGACCAAAGTGTTGGACGGACCATCATCAACATTAAGCAGAATCCACTCAGAAGAAATGCTGTACATATTATTCTAACAATGGAAAATCCTCTGCATCAGGATCTGGATTCAGACACAACGATGGAACACAAGTGCATTGTTGTTCTTCATTTAATGCTGGTGTCAGCACCATTTGAGAAACCAGCAAGAGTACTCAGAGTACTGGGTAACAGCCCAACTCTTCTCCAATGACAGTAGCTAGCTGCATTAGCTCCAAAAGTGACTAAATCTAGCGAGAAAGTCGCCAAGTCGTCAACGCTGACAGCTCGTCCCTTCAGGCCTCCCTCCAAAGCCACGCCCCCCCCCCCAAATTATAGTTATGGACGTCAACAACCAACACAGCTGTTGTTCGTACTCACAGCTGTGAAGCTAGCAGCTCGAGGAAGACTCCGGTGACGAGCAATGAGTGCACGGGCTTATTAAAATCCTGCGACAGCCAGAGATACGAGATTGCTTTCTTTTTTGTCCGTCAGAGCATTTGATTCATTGTTTTCAGTGGGAATGTGATGAAAAGCATTACCCACCCTAGCTTTAAGGAGCAGTAGTAGTAATTCATTTCGGTCTGTATTAACAATTTTCCAAAAAGGAATGCACATAATAAAGAATAACAATAAGGCTTAAATTAAAAGAACAAACACAATACAGTTCTTTAAAACAAAAAAAATGTTTCTTCCAAAAAAGACGATAGAGATAACTCCCTCTGTGAGATAGTGTTTTTCTATCACAGCTTCATTAAAAATCCTACAAACATATAGAAAACCAAAACAACCCCCGCCTAACCCCAACACCCACACACAGCAAACTGAGAAGAGTTCATTTGTTGGTGTTTTGAGCAAACGTAGGGTTAATCATACTCGGAATCTCTTTTATTTAACTCTCAGTTGACTAATAGTTGCCGTCAAAACCGAGTGTCTAAACGAAGTCACATTAACTCTTTAAACTTGTTCAATTTGAAATCTCAACTCTAAGCTGTGACGCTGTAAGTGTGAATTCACCCCCGTCATCAGACTGTGCTGTTGACCTTGTTTGGGAAATTAACAAATGATCGCAGAACGGCTCGTTTGCGCCAAAACAGGGCCGCGGTGTTACAGCAGTATTCCGCTATCCACTGCAGGTAAAGTACGGAACAACATGGATTGTTGCTGCAATGTCCACATATGGTGAATACATAATTGTTAAGATGAGAAAATTTCACATGAAATCACGACAGAATGATTAGATGTGCAGACAGGACACCAAATGGACTTCCTTTAACTCTAAATCGTGGGCGTCCCCTTTTCTTCAAAACATCTCGCTGAAGCTGTTTGCGTGACAGGGAGGACTTTCGTAAGATAACTTTATCGAAACCCTCTGTGGAAATCGGAGATAAAAAACAAACCTGGTCTCAGGGCCTTGTGTTTCGCTCTACATGCGTCTGGGCCCTCTTCCTCCAGTGGCGGTGGGTGTCGTCCTCCCCCGGTCAGAAAAGTGCTGTGAAACCCCGGCGTCACGGTGCTGAGGTAGTGGAACTCGCCGTGTCAACGGGTGACTTGAGAAGTTTCCCTGATAGTAATAATAAGACAGAACAAACAGGAAAGAGAGACGCGGTGTGCAAAAGTGAAAGATGCTGAGTCAAAGGGTGGGGGCGCAGCCAGTGATGTTAGCTGCTCTCTCATACAGTGACTTCTTCACTCTACGTGGGATTCCTTAATTACATGGAATGTGTTTCATCACTTCCTTTCTGCCAAATGTCAATTTGTACAGCTGGCTGCTGTCGTGACAGAAGAATACAGTTTTGACTTGGCCCAATATGAATTTGTCATAAATCTGTGACACTTCTGACGTTGAACAACTGAACCGATCAGTGATAAGTGATGTTCAGTTGATGGAGAAAACAATTATTGTCCAAAAGTTATATTCTGAGGTGGTTACAGTTATTTTAAGGCAACAGCATTTGCCTTTTACATTTGTATGTTTGAATTGAATTTTAATTAAATTTATCCAATTTAACATAACAACATAATAAATATATGACAGATATTTATCTCCTGTTCTCTGCTGATGCTGCTGATTGGTTTTCAACCCTCGGTAGATATATAATGAAATGACGTTTCAATGATCTTCCTTTAAGGAAAATAGAAATATTAATCATATTATTATTATTATTTGTGACATTGGTGGACATGCTGTGAACTTCTGCTCTAAAAACTGCCATCAACCACTACTGCTTGAGGCCCTTTGTGCTTTAGGAGAACCCACTGTGCTCATGCATATCTCACTTGGTAAAACAGATGCTTGTTAGCTTAGCTTGCCAACGTTAGCATTGACCCCTTTAGCATTTTTACGAGTTTTCAAATGTTAACCCGTCATTTTTAGACGCTCAGAGAAACTGAAGGAGTTTATTTTGTCTTTTTTTTGTCCGTACACACAACTGTCCATATTCACTTTTATTTTAACTCCTTTCATGTTCTTCCTCATGTTTCTGATCTGTTAGTCATAACTCACGGTTGGGTGTCGGTGAAGATACGATCCAGTTTCGACTGAGATTGTTGACGACTGACGACTCTTGGCTCTAAAATGAGACTCGTGTGCTGCGCAGGATAAAAGACAGACCACAGTTACTGCAGCCCACAGGGCACGAGGAGCCGTGTCCCCGTTTCCTGCTCCTGGTTTAAAGCTTGCCATTGCACAGGAAACAGACATAAAGATTCACGACGCTCCAACTGACACCAGAGCCCGGTTTACTGCGGAGGTTCAAATTTAAGGAATCAATGTGTTGGAAGTTCAAAACACGGCTCTGAAACTTTGCTGGAGATGCTTTTTCCCCCCTGAGCTGGTTTTATCTGCAGTTTGTGTAATGGTCTGTCTCTTTCTTTTAGTTTGCTGGCTTTTCTTTAACTCACAGGTGCAACAGGAAGTGTGAGGGAGAGGCCACTCACACACAGCCTGAGTAATTAAGTGAAAACACCTGTGCAGGTTCAGGGCCTTTCTTGTCCTAAAACCTTCTTACACACTGTCATCGTGTGAATCTCTTCAAATATTTACCTATGGCAGCTAAAATATTTGTTGTTCAAGATTTCATCTCATCCTATCTTGACTACCGCACACGGAAAGTCGTGTACACAGTGTGCTCGGCGTTGAAGTGGTCGTGAAAGCAACCCTGCTCGGCATCGGCATCATGGACGTTACTTTTGGCGTCTGGAAGCCACCGCGGCCCACAGTTCAGCCAGCTCTCAAGCAGGTGAGGTAATGCAGGAAATGCAAAGGCGTAATGACGGAAGAGAAAGAAGAGTTCGTTGGGAATCAACATCTTCCTCAGACATGTTGTAAAATTACAAAGAAATGCCACTAAAATCATATAAATGAACTTTCCATCCACCGATAAAATGATCTTCCACGATCTCCACTGTTTATGAAAACATCAGCAAACACGTCACAAACTCGTGAGCTTTAGCAAGATTTCCACTCACGAGTTTGTGAATACGAGGGACGCTCATATGAACGCCGTAAACACGACCCCATTTAGAGACAGCATCTCTTTCCACCCTTATTTCATTCATTATTTTATTAATTAATATGTATTTTGTGTCGGTTTCTTTTGTCATTTATGACAAAGCACTTTGTGCTACAAATGCTACATATTTTAGTGGTTTTAGGGAATGTACTGGTGCAGCAACAAGTCTACAAAATCACTGATATTAATCTTCAAAATGTTTGAGCACACTTAGTTAGAAACGTGTTGTTTTAAACGCTCCGAGTAATGGAACACAACACATCTTCTTTGAAGCGACCATGTTGTTTCCATATTACGACTAAAGGCTCACCCAAGTCAGAAGTCGACCTCCGAACTATTCGAGGAGCACGTGAACGCAGCATAAGTCCGTAGACGCAACACAGTCTCATGGTAGTTCCTGAAATAGTACCAGAATGCAATCTGTTGGTTTTCGTGTACAGGGACATGGATTGTCTGTTTTTTTCGTGTTGCTCGGATCAATTCTTTTTTTCGGGGTGACATTACGTTACAGAACAAAAGTTAGGTTTAGGCAACAAAAACACCTCGATAGGTTTGGGAGCAATATAATGGCTGGGCTTCAAATAACTACGTACAGTTTGGTTTAGGGCAACAAAATGAAAGTTAGATTTATGCTACAAACAAACACTTGGTTAGGTTTAGGAGAACGTTAGTGTTTCGGCAATAAAACCACAACGCGGTGAAATATTTAACACTAATCGTTTCATGGCCTCATGGATGCCTTTGATTTGTGTCCACAACAAAAAAGTATCAAAATTTTCTTTCCATTGGCATTAGCGTTTTATTTTTATTTATTGATTTTACTGAATTATTTAATTTAATTTATTTCTTGGTTTATTTTCATCTATTGTGCTGTTCACCTCAGTTGTCGTGCTTTGTTGCGCCGCACTGAGCTTTCTGTTATTGTCTTGCTTTTGCTGCTTTGTCTGTCAAAGCACTTTGTAAACTTTGTTTTTAAAGTTATCATTAATATGATTGTTTTTGTCCTGAGCGACACGAAAATTCATGTCCATGTACAAGAAACCAATAGATTGCATTTCATGACTATTTCACAAGTTTATCTACGGTTATTTTTTACTTGACACGTTGAAAAAAAGTTATATTTTGAGTAAACATATATATTTAAAGAGTAAGGTTGCTGTAGTTGTTGAGAACTTGGCCATTCTGTTAGCTTAGCTTCCTTTGTTATAGCCTGTAGCTTAACAGCTAGCCAGTGTCCCATTATACTTTACCCATTATACCTTCACAGGAAACTAAAATATTGTTCCTTTTTTTGATTAATTTCACCAAAACGTGTATTTCGGTTTCAAGGCTACCATTCTGGAGAGAATGGTTGCTGATGGTGACTAAAAAAAAATGGATAAAGCTTTTTAAAAAGAAACCTCTCACCTGTAAACAATTAAAATGGCAGATGTGCCTTTCAAATAGTAAAATGAATATAGTAAAGTATTTAAGAGTTAAATATTCATTAGCTCTACCACTACACACACATATACACATATATATATATACACATATATACACATATATACATATATATACATATACATATATATATATACATATACATATATATATATATACATATACATATATACATATATATACATATATACATATATATATATACATATATATACATATATACATATATATATATACATATATATACATATATACATATATA